GGCCGCGTTCCCTCTTGGCCACCTCACAGCACGGCCACACTGCAGAGCCACCAGCCGTGACGCTTCCCGCTCTCTTCTTGCAATCCCAACGAAACGCCGTCTTCAGGCTGGCCTGGTCCTTGGCAGGAGCTGGGGTTACCCCATATACACCTCATATTTGCAAGATGAGGGGTTGAGGCAGCTCCAGCCAAACTGATCCTGGCGCTCATTGAAAATTACGTCAAGGTTCGCTTTAGAAAAATAATTATTGCAGTCAGCCTCACTTTTCACAAAGCTATGACGATTTTAAAAGCATTAAGTGATTGTTTTGAAGGGATAGAGGAAAGCTTTTCCTCTCTGCCTAATCCATCACTGGTTAGCTTTTAGAAAGCCTGGAAGTCGAAGTTCATGGAACACAGAGCTCCCCCGAGACCGCCCTGCTCCCCCACTTAAAGGTGGGAAGGGACCTCGCCCATGTCATTTGCTGTAACAGCTCTGCGAGCCCTTCAGGCGTACGCTGCGGCGGTTTTAACCGCGCTTAAAGCCTCGTGGAAATTACATGATACTAAATCCTGCGCGGAGAGTGGCCAGATCATGACTCTCTAGCCGCACAAATGGCACTCCGAACAGACTAGTTAAAACGCAGCTGGAAAAAAACGTGAAGACGGGCATCTTGGTGATGGTTTTAGGGGTTAACGCTGAGTCAATCCACCGCAAGAAGTGGGTAAGGCACAGCAAAGTTCCCGCTAGGGTTTGCCAAAAGCTGCCCATCCTCCGATTCCTTTGCTGTAGCATAAAAAGATGTATTGAAATAAAACTGTACTAGAGAAAGGACTTCTTCAGGACCTACACTTTCTACACATCCTTTATGCCCACAGTCACCCCACAACCAGGACATGGTATTTACCTCAGACCTAATCTTAGATGAGAATTTAGCACAAGACATCTCTATCCTACTAGCAAACCAGCAAATGCTGACTTCTGCATGTATCGGCTGGACACCAGCTCTGAACTGAAATAAAATGAAGTATCATGCAATCTGTCGTAGGCTCCTTGTGAAATCAACTTCAAATTTTCATTGTTCAAAGTGTCTTGAAAACAGAAGCCCCAGGGTTTCTTGACTAGCAAGGTATAATAATTAAAAGATGCTAACTGCAGTCATCATGCATAGCCAGAAGAAGGAAAACTACAGCATCGAGCTCGTTCCTCATCCCGCCCTTCAGCCATCCAGTCTCCATCTACTGGCACAAGTCAGCAAAACACGTTTCAGGTGCTTATTTCTTGAGCAGAAAAAACCCCACCAAACCCCAAAAAAGCCCCAGACAAACCTCCCAGTCCCTGGGACAGCTCAAAGTCTAATTTAAAATTGTTACCCCTAATCTACTACCTTTCCCTTGTGTCCAAAGATAGACACCCTTATTTATAGACCGAAGGTGCCCAAGTTTCGTTTAACAGTTACGTGAAATATGTATTTCAATGCATGAAAATATGGATGACACTCATTTTTAGTGTCACCTCTCAAACACAGGGGACCTTTTATCTCCCATGTTTAACAACTTGCCTGTAGCTAAGTATTAGACCTGGCCTTAATACATGATGGCAGGAAAAAAAACCCCAAAAACCAGTATCTGTGGTTAAATCAGAATCACGAGAGACCCTTGGCAGGATGTGGAAGAGCAAAGCTCAAGCCTGAGTAAGCTTTTATGGAAACATTCAACACATCAGGCGGATGATCCAGAAGAGAAAGTCACTTGTCTACTTTAAGCAATTGGAAGAAGTAAGCACTGGTTTATTCTGGTTTATGCAAGTCCTGATCGTGGTAACATCATCAAGTGATTCCAGGAGCCTACCTTCCTCCTTGACAAGTCATTCCTGCGGGCCTGGCAACCCTTAGGTCCCCAGCATCCCACTCATGGACACCTGTGAAGCAGGGGAGTTCTCCAGTAGCCGGTGTGAAATGGGCAAACTGGTAATAAAAGACTTGCATGAAAAAACACATCTTGGGGGGGGGGCTGAGAAACAGCTAGAGCTCCCTAGAGCACAGCACGACAAGGAGAGATCATCTGAGGCAGGACCACGCTGCAGCAAGGTTGTTGCCACAGTTAGTGAATAGTATCAGGTCCTCTGGATTCCTTTCTTCACCTTTGAAAAAGGCTTTTTTAGTATTTTAGAAATGCGCCCTGTGTAGGAATGGGTGTGGAGAGAGGTGGATATGGAGTGACAGGGCTAGAAACCACTGTCTGCAAACAGTCCTGAAACGGCACAGGTCTTCCCAGATAAAGGTTTTGATTGTCTGCAGCAGTCACTGGAGCTGGTTGTTACCACTGGTGACACATATGGAAAAGGGGTGTAAAAAAAAAAAAAAAAGATAAAAAAGAAACCAAGACAGCAGAATTATTAGAATAACCCTCCCAGAGGCCAGGAAACGACCATATAAACACTGAAGAAGATGAACTATAGTGATATTTATCATCCTGGAAACATATTAATATAAAAAGTATTAAGTCTTCTGGTTCATAAAACAGCTTTTTTCTTTAAAGTTGATTGTCACACTGAAATGATATTAAAAACAATTCCACACCAATCGGAAACAACCTGCCTATAGTACAGAATAAAAAAAAAAATTAGAAGTTGGCAGACTGACCTCTAGTTTGGATTTCTGCTCAAGTATGAAGATGTTTTTAATGAGGCATAAGGGATAGAGATCAACAGGTTCTCAGAAAAGAAGCCAGATGTTATTGAGATGGCAGAAGATACATCACAGGGGAGGTAGCAGAACGGAACAGCAAAATCTACTAAATCAGTCTTCTTAGGAAGTCTCATAACAACAAAATTTGGGGACTAGTACCTCCAAAAGTAGGCCAAATATAAAGAGATCAGTCCCTAGAGTTACTGATTTTAAATTAAGTCATTGTTTGAATGAATACTGAAAGAGCAATTTCAAAGCAAAGCCTACCTTACTGACAAACAGTAAGCAGAAAATGGATCAGCTTCACAGTCCTTGGATTTTACCTCATGGTGTTTCCAGTGCTAACGTTTGAGCTTTAAAATCAGTCTGACAATAAAATACAGTAAAAATAGTTTTGTGTATGACATAACATCCAGCATACTGAGCAACATTCCACCAGCTCTTATTGTAAGATACAAGAACACAGCAGGCCAGAAGAAAAATCAGTTGCTGACTTTTAAGTGCATGCACTTAATTATCTGTGTGGGTAATCAACAGCAGACCCAGAATAGGTTGAGGTGAAAGGCAAAGCTGCCCATGCCAAGCGATGTTTGTTGCCCTGAAGTGCTAGTTCACTAAAGGGCGACATAGATCTAGTGTTGTAGCCCTGTCTTCCTGCTCATCTTTTACAGTGCCCATCAGCAGTCAGGACAGTCCTCCAGCCCCAGCAATCCTTCCCACCCCATCTCAACGCATGGGCAGTTTGTCTACCTCAACCACACTGAAAAGTGTACATCTTAGGTTTTTCCTGGCTAGAAACATCCATAGGTGTCAGATGTCCTCGGTCATTCCTCCCAATCCTCCATTGCCCACTCAGGCATCTTGGAGCAATACTCAAACTCTGCTCCCTTATAGCGCAAGGCATGTAGGTACATCACCAGTTCCTTGGGGGACGGGTCCCGCCTTGTAATTTTACACTCCACGCATAAAGGGTCCTTCTCTTCTGAACTCTTTTCTCCTGTTTGCCCATCCTGTTTCTCACATGAACAGAGTTCTTTATTTTTTTCAAGCATTTCCAGGTTGGTATCAGAGTTCAGTGGACAAGCTGTTATGTCATTTTTCTCAGAATCCTTAGTGTCCTCAGCAGGGCAGGAGTTCTCATTTATAGGATCAGCCTGTGCAGACTTTGTGCAGTCACTTGAATTATCACAGTCTTTATCTTCAGCACTGGAGTTCAAGTCCTCCTCCGAAATACCCAAGATATCCAGGCTCTGTTTGGAACGATGCTCCTCTACCAGCGCCTTAAGGAGTTCTTCATCTGTTTTATCTATCTTGCCACCTTTTCCCCTCTCAGGGCCCCAAGCTTCCATATTATAGATGGGGTCATTGACAATAGGATGCCCCAAATACTGCAAATGGACACGGATCTGGTGCGTGCGGCCAGTACGTGGAAGACACTTGACTACGCTGGTCTTGCCATTGTAACTGAGTCTGTGGAAGATGGTTTTGCAGAATTTCCCTTTGGGGTCCACACGGCACACTCCCACTTTGTAAGAAACAACCAGGATGGGCTCTTCACAGACCATTTCATGTTCTGGAAACTCCCCCACCACACGGCAGACATACTCCTTTTCCAGCTATGGGGAGACACAAGAGTAACCCTCAGAAAACAGAACAGAAAACTGTCTCTGTCCTGATTACACCCGAGTCTCACCCTAGCTACTCCTCTCTCTCTCTTCAATGCAATACATTTGTAGGCAACAAACTGCCCAAATTTTATTACAACTGAACAAGAAAAGGGAAAAAAACCCCCAACCCAACTATTTAAAGCCAAATTTCTCCCACGCTTTCCCCAACAAGTTGGGAAATCAAGAATGCAAGGGCCTGGCCTATTTTCCTCATATTACATTCAAGAGCCATCTCTCGGTGACCTTTGGTTTACGGACTTGAAGCAAATCCTGAAGCTAGTACCTTACAGCTACAGTTCTGTTTGGGTCAAGAGCCCCTGGAAAAGTGAGAAAAACTTCTACAACTTTTGAAACTGAGAAAGTATTAGATGACTGACATGATTCTACTTGCAAATAAAATTGCTAACTAGTTTGCACAATCCCAGTCAGTTTGCACAGTCCCTTAGGGAAGGGGATCCCTTTCAATCTAGTATTGCCAAAATCAATTACAATTTTTACTCAGTCTTTGTCTCTTGATGCTTGAAGCTTTCATGCTTAATACAATAAGAACAATAAGGTGACCACAAGCTGTTCTGGGAACTTGTGCTCATTTTAAGACCAAAAATTTAGCTGACTTTGGATCTAACTTGTTTCAAGAATACTACCATGCAAGAGACTCCAAAAAAATACTGCAGCCCTTAGCTCTCACCTGTCTCTCCCGAACCTGCTCATCGATCCTCTTGGATACCTCTATGGTCTTGGCAAACATAAGTACTCCTGAGGTCATGCGATCGAGTCGGTGAATGGTATGCAACTCCTTCAGATCATGCTCTTTGCCTAGGATGAAGATGACTGTGTTGTGACGAAACCTGCCGCAGGGATGTACTGGCAAAGAGGAGGGTTTGTCCACAACCACCACCTCATCGTTCTCCACCAAGATCTGGATAGGCTGAGCAGTGACCGGCGGCTCATGGCGATGCACTGTATTCCTGAGGAAATCATTATTCTGCAAGACACAGACAATTAGTATGAATCCAGCCTGCAAAACCACCCCATCTCACCACACGCAATGGGGGCTTGATATTGCGGGGCGGAAAAATGAAAGCCCCTTTGTCCTGAAACCCAGGATTGAGGACAACTCTGCTCATCAATGCTCAATGGCTCACTTGGGCCCCTCGCTACAAGAAGGCAAGAAGGGCATCGAGTTTCTGGAGTGTGTCCAGAGAAGGACAACAAAGCTGGTGAGGGGTCTGGGGAACAAATCTGATGAGGAGCAGCTGAAAGAACTGGGGTTGTTTAGTTTGGAGAAGAGGAGGCTGAGGGGAGACCTCATCGCTCCCTACAACTACCTGAAAGGGGGTTGTAGCGAGGTCAGCATTGGTCTCTTCTCCCAAGTAACTAGTGATAGAATGAGAGAAAAGAGCCTCAGGTTGCACCAGGGGAGGTTTAGATTGGATATTAGGAAAAATTTCTTTACTGAGAGAGTGGTCAAGCATTGGAACAGGCTGCCCAGGGAGGTGGTGGAGTCATCATCCCTGGAGGTGCTCAAAAAACATGTAGATGTGGCCATTCGGGACATGGTTTAGTGGGTATGGGGGCATGGGGTTGACGGTTGGACCTGATGATCTCAAAGGTCTTTTGCAACCTTAACAATTCTATGATTGATTCAAATTCATAAGGTGTCTCAGGTGGTATCTGCATGCCTCGCACGTTCACTGGGGGCTGTGCAGGGAGCTCTGGGGCACAGTGTCTCTGTGTGGCCGGCCAGAAGAGCAGGATCTGCATATTCCTGACTCCACAGGGGTAAGGATTCCATGGGAGACCCGATTCCCTTTAAACACCGCAGACAGCACCACCGCGGCGTTACTGCACCACGCTGGTGACCACCAGGCTGATGCTCATCGCTCCAGCCCAGCTGTGGTCTCCCACGTCAGGTTACCGGCCTGTCACACTACTCTGACTGCCAGGACGCCTACGGGAGCACCCAGCCCCGGCAGAACCGGGCCCCGGGGCTGGGGGGGATGCACACCTTGAGCACGATGTCCAGATCGCGCACGGGCTCCTCGTTGAGGCGGAGGCGGCCGGCGCGGGCGGCGGCGCGGTAGTAGGCGAGGGGCTGGGCGCGGAACTCGGTGCTGAAGACGTGGAGGAGGCTGCGACCCACCCAGCGGCCCTTGCAGTAGGTGCGGAAGTCGAAGTAGTAGGGCCGCACCTTGCGCAGCCCTCCCTCGAAGTAGTAGGAGGTCTCGGCGAAGTGC